ACTGTTTATCTTTTTGCTTATAATGCATGAGTTAGGAAACTATGGAGGCCTCGGATATATATGGACCGTGTGAGCGATCTTCTGTAGCAGTGATAGGAATAGATAGAGAAATATCATGGATGTCATAAAAGTATATGTAAAATATCCACTTATATACAGACTGGACCTTTACAAACGAGGTCATGTGCATTGGCTCTGGTGTCCTAAGTAGTGTCAGCGTTGTCTGCCAGAAGTTGTCATAAATTAACTATTAATCCAGTTTTCAGCCACATATTTTACCATACCATTTTTAGATCTTGGTGCTTTTTAACTCTATATTTTTTTAAACAAATGAAGGATTTTAGTCTTGAGATGTCTGGATCTTAAGTTAACAACCTGAGCAAACGTTAGCAGCAGCTGGGCTTGAAGCACTAACAAAATGACCGTTTATCAGCAAAACAGCATCAGTGACGAACTGATTTTTAAGTTGAAACTACTTTTTTCATTGTTTTTAACATTTGTAATTAGTGGTTACATTTATTTGAAATTGCTCCTGTGGGGATTGTCCACAGTACTGAATGTACGTATGTAAGTTGCTTTGGATAAAAGCGTCTAACAAATGACATGTAATGTAATGTAATGTAATGAGACCTATGAGGGTAATTTTGTACGGGAAACCTCCTCAACATCTGGATCTTAAGTTCTCCCTGAATAAAACGGAACAAACGTTAGCGGCAGCCGAACAGCACGCAGGTAAAAACTATTTCTGCGACAAATTGCTATTTAAAAAAATATATATATCTGAAGAGGACAGAGTTAAAAAAACTCGAGACCAAGAAAAGCCAAAGACTACAACTCCCATGATCCAACGCTGCTTTCACGACTTAATTTTTGGGGGATTGAGAGACCATAATGGCAATTAATCACATACTGTAGTTTGCGTTAATTCCCTAAATGTTGTTATTTAGTCCTTTTCAATGAATAAAGTGGTGATCATTTGACCCCACATCAGGTATTTATATCTGCACCATGTATCAATTTACATTTCCTGTTGCCAGCTTTGTATGGCATTACATCCAATGATATTGTAGAGCATCTGAGTACGGTGAAATGTGGCCGCTTCTTCCGCTGTCGCCTAATAAGGAGAAAACAATACGACTTGTCGAGGGGGAAAATCATCCAGGCTACAAAGATCTGATAGAACGTCAAATGACAAGCGGGAGAACAAAGCATAAGCTGTCTTCTAACAGTCTTGGACAATAAATGGAGAGATGTAACACTCTGTTTTACCTCTGCCCTCAATTAATTCCTATGAATGCAGCCACCATGTATTAAAATGGCCAGATGCTAGGATAGATTCTGTTGGGAGCAATGACATGCAACAAAGTGATATGAATCATCTCCCCCCCCCCAACATATCTCCACGCTGTGCTCTCAGAGGGCTGCTGACACAATTTATGGAAAAAGGAAAACAAGACACCGCCACTTGAGTATAGATGGACTGTCAAAAACGACAGAAAGAAACACTGTCAGGCACTATTGGAATTAAACCACACTACAGGATCAGCTCGCGTAACGGAAATGTTAATATTAGATTCAATGCGAGAGCAGAAATGCAAATGACTCTGTACCATGAGTCAGGCCACGTTGAATATTCAAACAAAGCTAATTATCCGTGGATTAGCCCCATTTTAGCGTTGAGGGCTCCACTTGTCAGCTGACTCTTGGGAGGAATTGTTTAATCATGAAGACCCTTTGCTCTCTGAGAAATGCCAGCAGCACAACCCCGACTCGAGCAAGTCTGACTGTCTGCACGTGGAATCTTCTGTGGGCATACAGAAAAGATGTCACATTGCATTATTTGTGAGTTGCAATTAAACAACAGTCACTTTCAATTAGTTTGGGTTCTAATGGTTCCTTTTGAAGTACATTTGTCTGCAAGGTCTCAATATTCAAAGGGATTTCAAGATGTCAGGTCCAGCATATGACAACATGGTATGCATCAAATGGGTGTGAACAACTTTTCACACTCATCCTATAGATTCAGCCCCTTGAGACATGATATCTATAAGAGTTGCGAAATGCAAGAGGGGTGTGAAAGAAAGACCCAAGGTCATTTTTCTGAGCAGAATGATGGACACGCAGAGATGTCGGCCCAAATATCTCCTCTGATGTGGATTACTAAACATTGTTTCTCATTCCGCACCAGTCTGTGACAATCTCCCCAAACGTACCCCTTCATTAGCATCACTGCAAGTGAAACAAAAGCCGTGGCATTTCAAAGATGACGTGTTTCTCAGAATGGCTGCAGAATCCCCCTTTTTTCCTTTTGATATGATTCCTATATCTACAAATCTCTGCCACTGCACACAAAAATAACCTGCCTCCAGCAAGAATGTGTTTGCAGAAAGAAAGAAAGAATCAAAGGCCATTCAAGAAAGGAAATCATAACATTATATCTATATTTAGCCTCCCTTGTCTTAATTGGCATGAAGAGTACAATCAGATAAGCCTTTTGACTGTGACTCGCACGCCGCTTCAGGAGAGGGAGAAATATCGTTTACCAGCACATATCTGCTGCCAAGACTCCCTTCTTTTCTACGTTTGCAAGTCTGTGTTCATAATTGTGCTATTACTCTGACCAGTAGCTTCTTTATCTGTAGTTAGCTACATCTGTGGGACACATGAACACCACGTAGAGCTTCTTTTAACTATACTTCTTCATCTCAGGAAGAAAGTCCCTCAGTAAAAATGATAGCAAAATCCTTTGAGTTGTTGTATTCACCACCATGGCCATCTTTGCAATCATACTCCCCCACATTTCCTCTTTAAAATAAACATCCCAGGTGATTCAAACTCATTAAAACAATGAGTAATGCAGTTTCATGGCAACAAAAAAAGCTGTGCGCTGTTCGGCTGCCGCTAACATTAGCTCAGTTTAGTTCTCTGACAACCATATCTAGACATCATATGACTAAAATCGTCTGCATCACTGCGGACCAAATTAACATATTGGAGACATTTTAATGCATAAATGTGACATATTATACATTTTAAAATCATTTTTTCTCAGTGTTTTATATTTGCCGCAGTCTCAAAGCCGAGCCCCATGTCACTTCCATGTTTCCCCCTATATTATGTCTCAGTGTAACTGGTCCATCTGGGCTCTGTGAGGTCACTGAACACACCACCTGCTCAGATTGGGTCTCGCCGTTGCTTCTGGGTAGCATCTCTGGGCGCGCGAGGAGAGGCAGATGTATAGATTTAGTGGCACAAAGGCCCTCAGATACCCATAAGTATAACACACACACACACACACACACACACACACACACACACACACACACACACACACACACACACACACACACACACACACACTATAATAATGTCTTACTGCACTGGCATGCTCAAACACAATCTGTACATTCCAGTCACACAACCCTTTTACAAGTTTCTGTGCAATGTTGTGTTCAATGACACTTACTGTATGCGGTTCACTAATTTAAGGAGACAATTGCTCCTTGCATGCTCAGGTGGACTTAATGGCCTTACACGACTCAAAATTGGATTGGAGTGTGTTTCTTAACACAGAAATACTTGCTTATTTCCTGAAAATAAAACCAATTAACTGTTGATATTCTTTTAGATGTATTTGTTAAAGCTCTGATTTGACAGTGTAGCTTTAGAATCACATTATTCATGAGGAAATCCCTCCCTGGTGATATTTACATGTGTGTTACTGTATGTGTAGAAGATCATAGGAAACAATCGTGCTGCAGTCAGCCCGTCAGTCTACGCAACAGAAAGCTCTCTTTGTTTGAATTGTCCACAAAGCTTTTGTTTTTATTTTACCGGGCTACTGTTGCCTATACACGTCCTGTTGACACTGTATACACGCTTCATACTGCCATCTGTCCTTTTTATTGCCTCTGAATGGACACAGAAATACTTTCCAAAAGACTGAATTACGCTCTTTGATACTCTACGCCAAACGGGCATTTCAGGTTACTGGCTCTGACGGGAGTTAATCAAAAAATGGAGCAAACAATGAAAACTAATTAGCTTGTAAACGTGCGATAGTTTAATGAAACATAAATTCCTATGTGTTCTATCGTTGATGCGAGAAAAATCTTCAATTATAGACTACATCTTTAACCGTGGCATTGTTATAAACCCATTTTAATGATAAAGCTTACCAATTTATTTCTGGAAGGACATCGTGTTTATATTATTATCTACATTATATTTTCTGATTGCGCATTCCTGCAGGACTCCCGGTGTGCGCTGTCACATTTACAGCAACAGCTTTACAGTCACTTTTTGAGCTTGAAAAGATCCGGGGCTTCATTCACTCCGAGGTGTGCTGCCCCCCCCCCATATCCAACCCGGAGACATGACTGATGATAGGCCGTCATTTCGAGACAAATTATGGCACGGACCTCGCCAAAAAGAACATTGATTGTGAATGTCCGCATATATTCCTGACATTCTTCTAGTTTAATGATGAAAAACTACAGTACAGGTAGCAGATTTACACTAATTTGGTCCACAGATTGGCTGCAATGTGACGTCCACACTGCAAAAAATGCATGATTTTATACATATTTCTTAAACATTTTTACATAAAAAAACTGAAATCATGAGCTTGTTTCAACTCAAATCTTGATTCTGAGAGAATTTCATGTAAAAAATATCTAGTAACTTACTAGAATTAAACAAAAAAGCGGTCTATTTCTTCGTTACATTTCCCGAAAATAATGTCTACGCGCAACATGGTCACTTACTTTATGAATATACATATGTAATGATTGTATGGATAGATAAAGCATGATGTGGTTTTAGGTTGGACATTTCTTGCAGTGCACGGAGAGGATTTTACTATGTGCGCAGGCAGGCCCCGCCTGCTCTGTGCGCGTCACTGGCGAGTAGTGTGGAGCCGGAGTCACTCCCCTGCCTACTTTTAATAGCTTTGTCATGTGATGGAAAGCAGTTGTAAGACAGGTGCCCTCGGTTCATTCTCGGCGAGGGGCAGCAGTAGCCTGTGTGAGAGCGAGTGGGAAGCGCGTGTGGATTTCTTTTTTACTTGATTTCTTTCTTTTTTCTTTTTTTTCTTCTTTTTTTCTTTTTCGGACCGTCATTCAGTGGCTGGATGGCGTGGGACAGGTGTAACCAGGACTCTGTGTGGAGAGAATTAGAGGTGAGCGCATCTAAAAAAAAAACGACTTGTATCATCTTTTCTAGCCCTGTGGACTTTCTTTTTTTCCCCTGGACCCTTTGGACAGCACTGGCTACAGACACAGTGATCTCCACATATTCTCGCTGCTGCTGCTGCTGGCAGTGGCGTGCCGGTGAATTTCGCGTCTGGACACAGTTGAGGATGCGGGGATATACAACACCGGAATATATGACAAGTGTGCGGAGTCTCCCTTTACTCCTCAGTTAAAGATATAGTTGTAATGCATGCACAGGCTCGGGACCTGCCTCTCTCGTAGGATCTGTGCTCAGTCGGAGCTGAGAGCTTGAAGCTTGCGGATCTGCTTCCAGCCGCGGACTGTACGCGTTCCGGTGCCGAGAAGCTTTTCATGCCGAAATGACTGAAATGTCTCAAAGTCAGGTATTTCGCTGAGGCATGACATCCACCGAAGATAAGAAACCCCTTTGACGTGCTGTGTCGGGATAGGGCATGTTATTTTTTTCAAAGGCAGGAGCAAAGGTTGTGCACACTGAGGACTATCTGCCATTGCGCAGGAGAATCATAAGAGTAACGGAACCGGGCACGTTTGTGTGCCAACATCCCGGCTGGCTGGAGAGCAACATCCAGCCACACTTCATCGTTTTATGTCTGCGTGAATTTCCATTTACCTGCTGCGTATTTTCTCGTTTCATCCAAGTCGTCTTTTGAATCTTGCTTTACCTTTCCCATGACTTAAGTGCATTCAGAAAAGGCACATCAAACGGATACTTATTCTGTGCAGCTTGTTGTGGACATTCAGGTCTACCTGGCTATAATTGGGTTTAGAAGTCTCCATCAGTGAGGCTTTCTATGTCACTACAAGATGTGACTGCAGCCTGCTTGCATATGTGTTCTATGCTGCGTAATGAGAATATGAAAAACTGCCTTTATTGCATCAAAATAAGGATATGTTATTCCGGACAGTTTTTTTAGTGATTGCTTTTCATTCAGACTCGCTTCTTTGTACTTTAATCACCGGGGCACTCACTTTGTCACTGTAGCCAGGTAGACTTCAGGAGAGTCTCCCGTGTAGTTAACCCAAATAATGCACTTGTTTCTTGGAGCTTCTTTTTCGACTCATTGTGTGAAATGTGTGCATGTCGACTCTTATTAAAACCCCCGCGAGATCTGTCTTCCAGGTCGTCAGTAGGCTATACTTCCTCTAATAATCTTCACCTAGCAGGTGCTCTTATGTGCGATACAGCGTAAATCATGGAGCGCTGTGGTGCGCGCTGTCTGGCGGCGTTGTTTCATTAGTCCGAGCAAGAAGTCCATAAGATAATTGGGCATAGGACGTCCAGCCTCTGAGTATCATCTCATCTTTTCCATGCCGTGCCCTGTCACACTGGATCATCACAGGGGGAGCCTAAGACGCAGTGAATCTTTCCCCTCGCTCTGTGCAGCATATCGGATTTGTCTCACCATCGTATATTCGTGTTGGTGCGAATCTGACGACAGATGAACTGTGACCCCGGTGTCTGGCCGCTTTTTCCTGCTTGGCACAGGATGCGATCCTCAGCTCTGCCCTGAGCCGAACCCGGCTCTCAGTCTGCGGCCAAACACCCACCGGCTCTGCCCGGGGATATCTCTCGTGTCTGTCTTAAGGCCATCCTGTAGCGTGCATGACGTCTTGTCAACAACAATTAGGAGTGTGTTTCTTATTATACGGCCTTAAAGATGTTTTCTTAGGCTTGGATTTGCATGTGCACAGTCACAGAGTGTAAACATGCCTGACTTTGTGCCTTTTAATGATCACTGACTAGATATTAAAGTGTGCTGCTCATGGTTTCCTTCCTTGTGGTTGCTTACGTTGTATAATAATGAGTATACATTGACTGGAAACGGCTGTAACAGAAAAAAAGGATGGTAAATATGCCATTTGAAATAATCTAGCAAAATTAGTTTAGACTTGTTGCTCTTTCCCCTCCGCTGAAATACCTTTTCACATCACTGTTGATTTCTCATCCCACTTGCAGCCAGAGCTGATGATTAGTGTGGGGGAGATGCAGGAACAGCTGCTACATACAGTACACATTGGCTAGATTACATAAAAGTAGCTGGTGAATAGCAAAATGTCAACAGGCAGCGTTTAGTAGCAGCAGGCCAGCACCAGTGGTAGGGGGGGGGGGGTTTAATAGGAGCTGAGCGGAAACGGGTTGCTGTGCAAAATGAGTGGACCTGCAGAACTGATCATAATCAATAGAGTTATTGTAATAAAAGTCATCAACTGGCAGACATGAATTACTTAATTTGCTGGACATGCTTTGTGTTTGGATTTCCTGTTGCTCACTCTAAAAGGCTTTTGACTCCTGTCCAGATTTGGATTCAGCCATTGTTTTCAAACTTGGCACAAATAATTCCGACGCTGATTTGCATATAAAAGAGATTTCCTTTCTGACGATCATTGTTGCTGTTGTTTTTCCTCCAGTGTGCTGCCTTGGTTGGTGAAGACCAGCCTTTCTGCCCGGACCTCCCTGAGCTGGACCTCTCAGAGCTGGATGTCAGTGACTTGGATGCAGACAGCTTCCTGGGCGGCCTCAAATGGTACAGCGACCAATCAGAGATTATTTCCACCCAGTATGGCAACGATGCGTCCAATCTTTTTGAGGTAAGTACAGCTTACAGTAGTTTTCCTTTCTATATCATTTCTTATTCATCACCTTCATCAGTATGTATGACATGGCGGTGCTGTTTTCTAGGCTATAAGGTGCTATGGAACATCTTTGCATCCACAGTGATTTCATTACATGCTCTCCCAGGGGTCAGGAGTGAGCTGGAATAATAACACGCCTGAGCGAACACATTCTTGAATGCGAGCCAAACAAAATGCACAAGTGTTGCCAGTTTACAAACATGCTTCAACATTGCTCCCAAGTACAAACGGGGGAGATAACAAAAATAACGATACGCCCAGGAGGACCTTTGTCTCCTTGTTTGCGTCCTGGCCGCGACTGTAGCCTATCTTATCAAAACTCTGAGCGTTTATTTCAGCACAGAAACGGCACACATCTGAGAGAGCGCTCCGGTAGTAAACTCTGGACACGGCGGCTGTGTTGCAAAACGCTTCTCAAAGGTTGGAGTGTAAAACTTTAATCTATCTGGCTTTCTTTTCTTTCTCTCTGTCTCCTCCTATCCCTCCCATCTGACTGTCTTTCTGTCCTCACGCGGTGACAAACGAAGTCCACAGAGGGTGATGATCTGGCCAGGGCCATAAAGCCATCGGTCTTGGGACTGAGTTGCAGTCCCCATTTCATTATAAGCCTTTATCAGTGCCAGAGATAGACAAGAAAGACTGAGATTGGATGCTTTAGCCTCGCCTCTGGAGGAAAAACCCTGTCTGAGAAGTGTGTGTTAGTCGAATGCCCTGACATGTAGTCACATTTTCAGGGTCTCTTGTTTTGGGTGTGTGTTCCTCCTTAGTGGTCTTGCAGGCAACAGTTGATAACAGTCTAAATTATTTCCACGTTTGACCTCCTCCCTACCACAGCCACCTTTTTTAAAAGTCTCTTTAAATCACCACGCATTGTACCTCTATGGACCACCACACACACACACACACACACACACACACACACACACACACACACACACACACACACACACACACACACACACACACACACACAGACGGTAAAGGGCGCCTTAAGTACTAGCTGGTGTGACCGAGGCTCCTCTGTCGTCTGAAAGTGATATGAGAGTGGCTCTGGGGATGGATAAAAATACCATTGATAGTGTATGCATGTGATTATGTGTGTGTGTGTGTGATTTGAAAACACACTAGAACTTAGCACACATTGTGGATGCTGATGAGGGGACGAGCTCAGATCAAGAAGCCTTGGGGGAGTTTGTGTGTATGAGCCTACACGTGCACACTCTCATGCACGTTCAGCATCCACAGGAATACTGTACATTGCAGTGAGTGGGTGAAGTTTTCACACACTGGACAGGCTAGCAGATATTGTATTATGCTGATGGTTTGGAAAGGCTTCTAATCAAGCTTTTCAAAGCGAGTAACACATTTCCCTGACCGGGGATTTTTTTTTCTTCCATCTTTGGAAAGTTTCTAGTCACCATATGAAGTGCTCAGTTCATCATACGGCAGGACCCGGCTAATCCTACTTAATCTGACAGGGGAAAGTTTGCCGCTCTGCAAGGATCAGAAAGCTGGGGCTGCAGCTGTACTTCCTGCGCCCCCCTGATTGGCCTCTCCACAGGGCAGAGAAGCATCCAATCAAAAGTTGAAGATTAGAGAACGTGTTAATAACCAGCCAGATTGAAAAGCCTGCAAGTGCATTCTTTGTTTTCTTGCATTTTCCCTTCAACTCATGCATATACATCCACTTAAAAAATCAGCGTGTGAGCGTGTTAAGAGAAAGCAGGTAGCAGATGATCAAGGCTACCCTGACTTACATGTGGAACAGCTGGGTGCAGCTGTCACGCTGAGGCCTCTCTCTTAACAAAGTCCCCATCAAACAACACGCTCCCTGGAAGTTTGAACCAGCCTTTGTTTGCTGAAGTACGTCAACTGTTGAAATGATTTGCAGCTTAGAAAGAAAGAAAGACAAACAGCTTCTGTTTTTCTTGGATTTGGGCTTTTATTCAGGGTAGAGCTCCATGTCACACACGGTAGCAAATGAGTGACTTTGCCTTGGTTATACAGGACAGTAGGGATCAGAAACACATTTCTCACATCCGAAAAAGTCTGTTTAAAGGTTCAATTAAAACAGTTTACACCGTGTTTGTGCAGTGTAGGTGTGTGTATGGGTGCAAACAGGCCCATGTTTCTATCTGTGTATGTGTGTGTTCTGTTCTGTAAGCAACATACGGTCCGGGATCACAAGCTGTCCCATGGCTGGCCTTTTGCTCCATTCCCTGCCACTGTCCCAACTGTCCCTGACAAGAAATTTGGAGGATCATGTGTCCCCTTCCCCCCTTTTGTAACACACACACACACACACACACACACACACACACACACACACACACACACACACACATAGCCGCTATCGCTCCTGGCACAGTGCATTTGACACCCCTTCAGAACGGGCCGACCGTGAAAGTCCACAGTCTATTTTGGGCTGCAGTTGGCAGTGGTTACTGCAATAAGTTCCCATTGTACTGCCAAAGATAATAGCACGGAAGCGTGACCCACGGTCTTTTGAATCGCAGGACTCCTCTCCGCTTTCATGACGCCGTGTGATTGACAGAAAGGTGGTTATAGCTTCATGTGTGGCTCTTGCCCTGGGATGCACCACACCTTAAAGGTTTACAGACTACGTGATTATGCAAGAAAATTGGCACTTGCTTTACCTTCTGACATTTTATCGCAGCTGTACCTGTCTTGTCGTGAGATACGCCGATGACAGACGGACAGGTGGGACAAGAGGACAAGGGCAGATAGAGAAGAGAGAGACAAAGGGAGGCACAGAGATGGACGGAAAAGGCCAACAGATGACAAGACAGACACGCAGACACAAGGACAGATGGGTAGTGAAAGAGATAAATGTGGAGACCAGGGAATGCTTGGACTAGTGCCAGCTCAAATCAAAGCTCACGGATTGGAAGTAAAAGGTTGTGGGCTTTGCAGGTAGTAAAATAAGATGCCACGGCTTAAAGCATTACTCAGATATTACAACGCACGTGAGCGCACATATGTCGGTCATGCAAACTCTTGATATTCCTCCAACGGAATGGGGCGTGTGATGGCATCAGAATTTGTGAAGCATTATGCCGCTTTGTTTAAGCATTTTCAGACAGATGCTCAGACGCTTATTGTTAAGTAAAGGCAGATTAGATTGATTGGGTCATCTTTAGTGGGCTTTGATAAAACATGTTGTGATGGAATGCATTTTCCTCAAGCAGCCCCTCCCTCCCTCAGTCACTTGTTGGCTAAATCAGAAGTGCGCACAAAGTCACAGACCCTCTGAGAAGGAGTGTCACGCCCACACACACACAGCAGAGACCCTTATTGTCCCTGTTTCTACTCCCTGCTGAATGCCGGATGCGTTTATTTTGCAAATTTATGCTGACATTTGGGAGTACACCACCCGCACCAGTTCACCGCTCCAGCAAAGGGTGTATGAATTATCATATTCCACTGTATAATATGATTTTCTCAAGTGAGTCTTATTAGAATACACCATACTACCCCCTCCTCTCGAGTTCCTTTCAGTTTTCCTGTGCTGATACATTGTTTGCACTGTCTGATAGAAGCAATCCTCCATCACTGTCGAAGTGAAGGCAAAGCGCTCTCAGACCCGCGGCGATGCTGTTTCAAGATACACACAAATGAGAAGCAGCGTAGACGTATAGTACACAGATGCAGACTTAGGCTGTCCGAGCTTGTGTCATCTCGGAGCGTCTGTCAGATCCACTCACACAACAAGAGCTCTCAACCCGCCGCCCTGCAACACCGGGGGGCCTCTGCTCTCCCCCCTTCTTTTCCCCCTCCGTTCTCCCTCTGTCTTTTCGCTACCCAAGGCAAAAGCATTTGTTCCCGGCTGATGGGAAGTTGGAGCTGCACTGGCTAAACAAATATATTCTGGCCTCCAACAATTGCTTCTGTAGGGGAAAAGGCTGCAAGGAGAGAGGGGGGGAGTAA